TTTTTTTTTTTTTTAGAGTCTTGATTGGGATCATCAACTCATTTTTATAAACTGTAAAGAAATAGAGGTTGTAAGAAAGGCACCTGTGGAGTCGTGTAGCGTTAACATGATGATACACAGTGGCTAAGGGGATTTTAATTTCTATAACAGACTTTCAAGGCTTGTCTGTCAAGATTGTTTTCTATTCTCTTTATTCAATTTGCAGCAAATACACATACAAGAATTGTAATTGTTTGAAGGATCCTGAAAGACAGATCTAGGAAACCAGAGGAGTTTTCAGTAAGTGGTGCTAAGCTTTAGCAGTTTGCTAGGAAGTTGAATGCAAATTTACCAAACATCTAAGTGTTTCTGAAGTCTAAAAAACATCAATGTCACATCAGGAAAGAAGTTTCCTCCTCTTTGGAGTAGCTGTTTGTCTGGTAAATCCCTAGCTCATGGAGAATCTGGACAAGAGCCCCCATAGTACACTTGTCAACCTTCCCTATCTGTTTAGCACAATAGCAGTAACTATGAACAGGGCCAGCTTTAGGCCGATTCCCCGGAATCAGGACCTGCCAGTAAGAGGGCCCCGCTCACCTGGTGGCGGTCCGCTCCAGCGGCATTTCAGCGGCGGGGGGGTCCTTCAGTGCTGTGGAGCGGATCCCCCGCCGAAGTGCCACCGAAGACCTGGACTGCGGAATCGGGCCCCGCAGGTCCTAAAGCTGGCCCTGACTATGAATCCCTGGGGGTTACAGTGGCCATTATGACCAGGTCTTATTCACAGAACATATACTATACAATCTGAGCAATGCTGCAACACGCAATGCTGCAACACTGAGTTGTTTGATTTCTGCAAGGAGTTCCCCCTAATCCTAAACCCCTTCTCTTACAGTAAGACCAGTCTCAAAAGAAGAGGACACAAATTGAAGTTAGAGACTCTGAAACTGAGTGAACTAACTGGTAAAGCTAGGATTATCAGGCTTGCACTTAACAGAGTGAAGAGGTTCTATTGTCCATGGTCTTTTATTTTCTGATTTTAGTACATGTGATCAACTTTGAGGGAGTAGTGAGGGACACAGCTGCACTTTACAGTTTGACAACCACAAAAATAGAAGGCAACTATACAATCTGTTTCACAAAACTAGCTTGCATTTTTAACACACTTGACAGAACAGGATTAGCTGCAACAAGTTACGGGGCTCCAAGTGTAAAGTGCTATTTTGGTTAAAAGTAGCTAAAAAGCAATTACTACAACATTGATCTGTGTGTTCGGCAGTTAGACTGGTGGTGTCCTCTGAATCTTTCAGGTCAAGCTTTATGCTTCTTGATGAAGTTAATGAGCCCATTTGTTGAGCTATCATGAGATGTCACTGGAGCATCAGAATCCAGTTCTGGTTCAATTTTCTTAGCCAATTGCTTTCCAAGCTCAACTCTGCATTTTATGGAGGGGGGAGAAAAAAAGTTAGTACAAACTCATTTAGGCCCAGACCCACAAAGATATTTAGGCACGAACTCCAGCTTAGATACTACTGTGATCCATGAAACCTTGCTTAGCTGGTGCCTGAACTCACTCAGCACCTAAAATTTCAGGGGAAGTTCCCTAGGTGCCTAAGTTTTGGCCTCTGGGCATACACACAGCTGCCTCATTTAGGTGCCCAGAGGCCTACCTCATGCCTAAGCCCGAGCATGATCCACAAAGCAAGGGAAGAGAGGTATTCCCCTGCATCTCTTACCTGCCATGGGCTACTGGATAGATCTCCATTCGACTCTGGCCAGAGGAGGTAGTGATGCCATCTCCCTTAACTTTTAGCCCCATGGATATCAGAGACCTAGTCTCAGTTTCCCACTCTGCCTGATGAGGAGAAGAGATTTGAACAGGGGCCTCAGGATATTCTGAAGTGAGGCTCCCTCATTCTCTCCTGTTGAAGCAGTTCCACTTTGGATAAATTAGAGTCACTAGAGCAGCATAGGACAGGAACCTGGTCTCCCACCTCCCAGATGGGTGCCCTAACCACTGGACTATAGAGGTGTCATTCCTCACTCTGGTGGCACCTTCTGCAATGATAACCTGTGAGGTGTGGAAAGGAGGAGTTATGCTGTCCTAGACAGCATTACACCCTGCAGAGACCCCTGTTCAGCTTCTACTTCAATGTTTTGGAAGAATCATGGTAGCACAGTTATGTAGGAGAGATGCAGAAAGCAGACTCTAGCAGTGCACAGGAACAGGGTCTTGGATCTCTGGAGTGGAGAACAGAGTCCCTTGTGGAGTCCTGGGCTTTATAGGGCCTCATCCTCTTTCACTGCCCTCTCAAAAAGGAAGGTACAAGTTTCATCTGAATCTGATGCATATCCCAGCCCCTCTACTTCCTCTTGGGAGTTTCTACACCCGAGAGTAAGTTATGAGCCATAGTCAGTGGTAACAGTGACAAGGAATAGCACTGACTGGCTCCTGAGAAAGGCTAGTCTTCATCTGAAAGGAAGAAAAGTGGGGAACTCCTCAAAGGGCTGCTGTCCTTCAGCAAAATACACATGACCCAGGAGGCAAAGAAAAGGTTTATTTAGTGACTTGGTAAGTCAACCAAGTACTGTCCATGCCCGCTAAATCAAGAACCAAAATTTTCAAGTGACTAGTGGTTTTAGGCACCCAACTGAAGAGCTCTTGAAGGGTGCTCAGCACTGTCTGAAAAATCAGGCCCCTGTAAGAGGTCTCAAGTTGCAGCACCTCAGTTTCTGGGGGCCCAAATTAGTCATTTTAAAAAGTTTTGACCAAGTTGTGCAAGATGCACCTCATGTGACAGTGGAGGGTATCATTTGCAATACAGTCTACATTAGTGTTAGGGCTCCTACGTCAGAGGACAACCCTATGCACAGGAAAAGGAAATCAAAAGGTGGATTTTTTTTGGTTGCTTCAGTATCTCGGCAGCTGCTGTGCTGTGATATTGCCTACTATTAGTTTCCATACATGGAAGGTAATCCATGTTGGCCTTTTACTTGAAAGGGATTGCTTTTTGTAATACTTTCTTGGTCAACTCTGACCAAGAGTCTCTCCACCGCTAATATTTCTGTAAGTATTGCAAAAACACCTATTCTTCCCCCTCTTCTCCCCTCCTCTCATATACAGTTTCTTAACACTAATAAAAGTAGAGTTCCCTTAATCTTTCCTCAAAATTATATCTCTGTGATGCCATGCACAGGTTTAACAGGGGATAAGATGTTTATCCCATAAATAGACTTGTCTTTCTAGGTCTTTAGAGCCACAGTAGAAGCTTTTGCTCTTTGATGGAGAGCACAAGGAATATGTAGCTAACTTGCTTCATTACCTTAGCTTTCTTTTTTACATAGGTGAGAAGTTGAGTGCCATAGTTCATAAGGATTGGAGATAGAGGTTAGTAAGACTTACCCCCACTGGTCATAGCTATTAATATCCCACACAACTCCTTGAACAAAGATCTTGTGTTCATACATAGCTATAAAAAACAAACCAGAATTAACTGTAAGCCTCATCAGAAAACATCACTGAACATTATTAGTAATGAGACATATTTACCAATTAAGGCTCCCAGAGTGAACGGGGAAAGTTTTGTAAACACAATGGAATTGGTTGGGCGATTTCCTTCAAAGACCTTTCAAACAAAATAAACAGTGTTACATCCCAAACAGTCTCACATCAGAGTCACATGAATCTATTTTTCCAGGCCCCTAGTACCAGAGAGTCACACACCAAGTTATGTTTTATTTTAATTAAAGATTGTACAGAGAGCAACATGAAGAGCATTAGAAGGAGAGAATAGCAATTTCAATCTGTTGGTCATCCCCATAGACCATATTGTAATAAGTGTGTCAGCATAATAGTAGTAAATTGTCGTCATCTCCAAATGCCAGGAGCATGCACAGTAGAGCCCTGCAACCCAACCCAAAGGGGCTCAACGACAAGTGTTGGGTCCTGGTCAGATCAGGATGTTGCCACTAGCTGTACAGTGTGATGCTGAGTGAGTGTGCCAAGGAGTTGCAGTGCCTCTCACTCTGCAGCGCAGAGCAGGGGACTGCAGATGACAGGAGCAGGGCATGCTGGCACACCCAGCTGTCGCTGTGCTGACCTCATGGGCACAGGTTTGGGGGGGGTGGAGGAGGGAGATGGGGAAGGGTCAGGTTGAAAACAAGTCTGCCCACTTGGATTTGGATTTTGTGGGCTTGGATTTTGTTTGGACCTAAAAATTAGGCCCAAGCAGACTTAAATGCACACGTTCAGCACTATGGGGATGACAGCAAGTGCAGTAAGGTCAGGCTTCCAGGGCTAGACATGGAAAGCCTGTACTGTCTGGAAAGTGCTGCAAGGTTGCAGTGTTCTGGTAGCAGAACAATGACATGGTTTGGTTTTTAAAGAGGAATTTGCCCCATAGAGAGACCTCCCAAGTTAGCCACTGAATCTCTAAAAATTCAACATTTGCAGCTTGCTGCTGCTCATATCTAGCCAACTGCCACCAGAAGGTGCCCCATTTCTCCTAGCCTACTACATTTAAACATTTCAATAGTACCCCACCCTAATGTCTGCAACACACACACCCCACTTCTAAACACCAAAATGTAGCAGAGTAACTTGAATTACAGTTGTCACCACATGGATACCTTATGTGGAAGAAGTTTCTCCAGAGGACCTCCACTCAGCCCAGTAGCCTGCAGTTCTTTTCGAGCCTCATCAGCAGTCTTTCCTTTCATCAAGGCCTCAGTCTGAGCAAGAAAGTTGGCCAGAAGGATCTAATAGGAAGAAGTTAGATATTAACAAGCCAGTGAAATTACTGCCCTTCTAGTTAATGGAGAGGGAGCACTGTCTAGTGCAGGGGAAGCCGCGGCCAGCACATCCCTCGGCCCGCGCCGCTTCCCGCCACCCCCATTGGCCCGGGACGGCGAACCGCGGCCAGTGGGGGCCGCGATTGGCCAAACCTGCCGCATCAGCAGGTAAATAAACTGGCCCGGCCCACTAGGGTGCTTACCCTGGCGAGCCGCGTGCCGAACGTTGCCAACCCCTGGTCTAGTGCTTAAGAGGCCAGGACTGCACCAGGATTCCATTCCAGGCTGCACAACCTCAGGCAAGTCAGAGCTAAAATTGAGGTACCAGGTACAGCACCACAGAAATATGGTTTTTCCTTCCTCCAAGTAGAGTCAGAAGGCTTTTCAGTGTCATGAATATATGACAAGGAGCATTTAAAGATTCAGGGTGAAATCAGACTTCAGTGGGACCAGGATTTCATCCTCAGAAACCACCACAATAGCCACAGCACTGGATCCAACCTCTGTAGTGCTCCTTGTGTTTTACCACTTTCATCCACAAGAGTCTGCACTTTCTTCCATGCCAGCCCCCCCAATCCATGGGATGTTCTTAATCAGATGACACCAATTCACCAGCTTCTCCTCAAGGCTGATACAAAGTTTGCTAACTGAGAAATCCATTAACTTGGAGACAGAAACCTTAATGTCATGCCACATACCAGCCCTACCTGAACAAACATTCATATTGCAGTTACCCATCATCCCTCCTCTCTTTACTATCATGCTGCCTCCTCATTGAATCACATGGGTTAGTTTGCAAGCTCAAGGCAGAGATCACATCCTGTTCTGGGTAGTGCCTATCAGGTAACCATAATATATCATTTCTAATGTGCCTAGGAATGATTGAGTGAAATGGCCTTTTCTCCCTTAAAAAAAAAAAAAAAAAAAAGGTTCTTTATATTTGTCTGAAATCAGTGTTAACATCTTGTCACAAAAATCTAGAGTGTAATTTAAGTGGTGTCTGGCAACCTGTATTTGAAATTGGCCCTGGAAGTAATTCCATTTGAGGACACCTCCCCCCGAAGTTTGAAATAAAATAATAGCACTGGGAAAGTTACGTATTGCACTGGGAAAGTTAATGGAAAATCAGTTTGTAGTTATGTTAAAAAGTGTGCCAATATAAATGGACTGATTAAACCTTTATTAAATCAGTCCAGGTTTATAGGAGACAATGCTCAGAAGATAAAATAGCCTGTTGGTATCTTTATGAATTATTCTCCAAGGACTTGCAAACCTTGGAGGTCAGGAGCATCTCTTAAGGAAAAGGTTTCATCTCCTTTGAACATTTGACTTCTTGCAATCTGCAGGCTAAGCCTGCAATATTCTCTCCCTCTCCCCACCCCTCAAAGCACCAATAGGCCACATTTTGTCTGCCTCTAGAATAGAGAGTTGCAAGTTCTGCAGAAACAAAACCTCTGTGTATTCAAGTCAGATTGTTCTGCCACACCCCATGTGTGTGTGTGGGGGGGGGGGGGGCGGGGAGGTGGCAGTCTCAGACATTAAAAATGTGGTCGAGTCTAAAACTGATGAATTCTGATATACTATAGTTTTGAATGAACTCTAGTCTCTTCAGCAGTAGTAAGAGGAAATATGGCTGACAATGATTACAAGCACAAGTAGTTTTACCTTGTGATGCAAGCCATTTCTGATTGGATGTTGGGTCTGGACTGGGATTAGAAAATCGCAGGGGATTATACGAGTTCCTACAGGGAAGACAATGTTAGAAACCTGTGAATACTTTGTATTAAAATCAAGCAGGAAGAGTTTTCTTAAAAAGAAGAAACCCAAAATTGACAAGTTTCAGCCACTCTAAACTAGTCTAAGACAGTAGCAAAAAGTTTTCCAAGAAACATTTCATAAATTCTTGACCAGCTCTACTTTAGAGTATTAGTTTTTTAGAAGTCTAAATCCTTTTGCTGCAACACCAGAGCATGTTGCCTTCTAAGGCCACTGGTTAACAATAGGGTGATGGTAGGCAAGAGGCCTATGCCAATTTAGCCAATACCTTGCCCTCAAGACAGTATAATTCTGCAACCTCTGCAGCATCTGGTGTTCAGAATTTCCTCCCAAGCCCAGGTGTTCTGCATAGCGGTCACCAGTTTTACAGTTGTACCTTGATGAATGAGCTGATAAAAGGCATGCTGCCCATTAGTTCCAGGTTCACCCCACACAATAGGGCCAGTATTGTAGTCCACACGAGTGCCTTTCTTGGTGATGTATTTCCCATTAGATTCCATGTCACCCTACAAGCAATGAGGTTAGAAGTTTATAATCAGATATACCCTATGGGTTTTTTTGTTCTTGCGGAGTCCTCTATTAGGCCTGTAACAACTTCTCCATTTACTTTATCTTTATCAATTTTAAACATGTTAAAGTTAGTAGTTTAGTTTGCTGACATCAGGAAGGTTGGGATGCTAACGAAATCTGTGCTGAGACAGGGTTTTTATGAGCCTCTCTATTGATGGTTGTGAATACAGCCAATAGTTGTATTGCTGTCGGTTACCAAGATAGTATTCTTCCTGAGAACCCTCCAAAAATGCCATTATATTAGGTATGCAGTGTTTTAGCAATGTCAATCCCAAGCTATTAAAAAGACAAGATGGTTGAGGCTATATTTTTTTATTGGACCAAACTTCTGCTGGTGAAAGACAAGCTTTCAAGCTACAGAGTTCGTCAAGTCTGGGAAAGGTACTCTAACACAGCTAAATACTACATGGAACAGTTAGTTTAGCATAAGTAGTTAACACATATTCTAAGGGACCATTCCAGGTGAAGTAGCCTGTTCTATTATGCTCCAGTGATCATCATAAAAAAAAAAAAAAAAAAAAAAAAAAAAAAACAGATTCTTTACCTTAACAAGCCAAGTGCACCCTGACCTCAAAAGGCCGTGAACTATCTATGCACAGACTTAGACAACCTTCCGTACAAGCTGAGCCTTACCTGCTGGAAGTAAGCAGCAAAGCGGTGCATGTACTGGTCATATGGCAGGAGTGCATGGGTTTCACAGCCATAAAAGTTTATATACCAGACACCCAGCATGGCCAGCAGAACTGGCACATTCTTTTCCAGTGGAGCAGTGTGGAAGTGGTTGTCCTATGTAGGAAAGAAAAAAACTACAGTGACCAAAGAAATTTACTTCCTTCTGAGTTTGGTCCAATTGTCCCCCAAATTGAAGAGTGGCAATAAAAACCGATCTAAGACTGGGAAGGATGGGGTGAGCTCCAACAGAAAGTGTTTTCAAAGCAGTGGAAACAATAAGGAGCTTGGGGAAGACAGGTACTTTTCCACAGGTGATCTTTAAAGTTTGTCACCACCAGCAGTCTTAATAGCAACATTGTACCAAGTTAATGGGAACAATATTTAACAAGCATTGGCATACTCACCATCCAGTGGGCTCCTGCAAGCAGTTTCTCAAAGTTGTCAAAACCTAACAAAAAAAAGTGCATTTTAACCATCACAGCTTACACATGGTTTCCTTGGAAGATAAGGCCTCAACACAGCCTAGATTCTTGTACACTAAGATTTCCTTTCATTAGTGAAATTTTGAGTTGGAAAGCTGCATTTCTACTACATTTTATATCTTCGGCTCTATCTGTGCCCCCTAGGTTGGGATGTACTTAATTTTGAGTAAGTCTTGGCTTTAAAATTTCAGGGCTCAACTTCAGTAAGTTTTTATACTTTAACCTTAGCCTGAAAGCCGAATGAGACAGAATAAGTAACACAGGGAAATGTACACAAAGGCAGCATCTGAATTACTACAGCATAGCTTTCTGATCAGTCTCTGAATTAATGAGACACATGGTTCACCCTAGAAAAAAATTGGAGAGCTTTATCAATAATTTGCCTAGCTTGGTTTGTTTATATATTATATATATAAAAAAAAATACACACACACACAGTCCTATCATTATGGTCCTTAACCAGCACTGCTCATCAGTGCACATTAGAAAAACTGGTGCCTTAATCACCCCCAACTACACTACAGAATTGATAAACCTGTCCCTCTTCCGTATAAAATTTTGAGGAGGAGGAAATTGAACTAGTGATAAAAGCAGTAACTCTGTACAGAGCTGCTTTTGTAGACTACTGGATCAAGAGCAAATAGTGCAGCTAAATCAGTATGCCAGCAATGTTTATTTAAAAGCAGACTTAGGCAGCGCCCTTCTGCCTGAGCAACCCATCTGCCACTTAGTTAGAATGGAAGAAATCCATTTAGTTTTACACAGCAAAGTAGTATTTCACACACTGCAACTCCCAATGCTCAATCTCAAAAGCACAAGTCTATTTCCTCATTGCCTCATCAGTGTCCAGGAAATTTTAGTTGTCATTTAGAAAATGAAATAAAAAATGACTGACTTTGCACAGAAGTCAAAAATATTTTTGACCATGCAAGTGGCCAAGATGCATGGTTGGCCATTTTGTCAAAGGCAAATTTGTGGGTGCAATTTCAGAAGTTGAGATGTGCTACTGAAATCCAAAGAGCCAAGTTATCTATTTCACTATAGGTCATTTTAGCATATTCAGTGTGTGTAAGTCTCACTGCTGATCATGCAAGCCATGTTGAGTATTTTTATATAATATGGATACATACCAACATGCAGAGCAATGGAGAGACCAATGGCTGACCACAATGAGTAACGGCCACCAACCCACTGCAAATAAAAGTTTGTTTTAGATAGCAGTAACCTTATATGAGGATTCTGTGTTTAAACATATGGCAACAAGTTCTACTAACTCCTCTCATACTGCACTCTTTAGTTTGCCAAATTCAGTTTTGGCAAATTCAGTTTTGCTCTTCAGAGCACAAGTTTTTATTTTAATACAATATGGAGATTTGTCTTTTTCCTTGTTCTGCACACCCATACCAGACCATCTCTGGGAATGGGTTTAGTTTAACTGGTAGAACAGAGCCAGAAGATGCTTACACTTTTTATGGGTTCCAGAATAAGCTACCTTAAGTGTTCAAACCAAAATGTAGTTTCATGTCATTTTTACAGAATCACTTTTTGGCAATGTGGGGCTGTGTCCATTGCCTATGAAGGACTATCAGTTTGGTTATATGGGGGGGGAGGGGGGAGGGAAGAGAAGAGAAAGGGATTTCTTTAATAAAATCTTAAATATCAGAAGTGAAAACAAGCCATTCCGTAAAATAATTCTAGAGTGGCTCAGTGATCTGATTGGTGAATATGCTTGGTATGTTTTATGTGCATCCATTAGGAGGCAAATGTGTTTGGAGGCGGTCAGCCAGTGAGATCAAAGCTTGTGGTCCAGGGAGCTGGCAGATCACCTGGTACTGGCTCCTACCTCACTTCCAGCTGCTATCCTGAATCAAAGGCAGCTAAATATGCTTAACTGCTGTCCTAATATTACTTTTGCTTACAAGTAATTCTTGTGTCAACTACAGCAATGTGAAGGCATTGCAAATGGGAGAGGCGGTGTGCCACAAAACATTGACAAGTTGGCCAGGCTACGAAACTGTTCAAGAATTCTTGTTATAAGGGTTAAACCAACCTGAAGGTTAAATAGCTTTCATGGTTTCAATAACAGCATATTTAAAATTAGGTTTTAAAGTTCTTGTCAGGCATGTAACAAGGAGCAATATAGTGATCTGTCTGATGTTTTCAGGCATAGGTCAGATATATTTATTTTTCACAAGGTTTGAGTGAAGGTTCACTGTACTTACAATTTGAGTCCATTACTAAATATCAGGTCAGATTCTGGGATATTTGACCTTTACTGATCTAAATTATACAGTAGAGTGCAACAGTCAAATGTCACAGCTTATAATAACTACTTGTAAGACCTACTCTGGGAGCAATGAGCTATCTCCTGTTACTCAACAGCTGTCTAGACAGCACTGCCTACAGAAAGCTCCTCTTCTGACCTTTGATAGGGAGACATTAAACTGAATGGCTAAAATTGATATATTTCACTACTTTGACATGTTCCCTCAATTTCTTCTAATATTATTGTCTTAAAGCACTAGTGGGTTTATTTTAGCACCTCCATATTTTTTTTCCAGGATTTTGACCTTTTAATTTGGCTTTTCTGAAGCAGGTTAAGTTATTCTAACAGTTAGCATCTATTGCTTAGTGTTAAACATTTACTTACATCCCAAAACTCAAACATATTCTCAGTGTCAATTCCAAAGTCTTTAACTTTAGGCTAGAATAAAAAATAAAATGGATAAATACATTCGTATTAGAGAACTCAGACATCATAAACAGCAACTCCAGGATGCTTATGTAGCTAAAGTTATAGTTAGCTTAAAGATACTAGTTCCTATATAACTAAAGCACACACACAAAACATCTCCCTGACTTCATACTCTGGGTCAGAAGTTTAAAGCCTCCACCAGAAAATAAGCCATGATTGATCCTTCATTCCTCCTGGTCAATGTACCATCTGTCAGTGGTCCCAAAACAAGAAGTTAAATTTAGTGGTGTAAATTGATCAGAAAATTTGTAAATGGCAAGTAGTGTAATGAACCAACATGGCATTCAGTGTTGTCCAAAATGAATAGTTTGCATGCAGCAGGGCCAGAATGGAGAATGGGATAGGAGAAAGGAACTTTAAATCAACTTGCAGAAGGCTTTGAGGTAAATGCAGACCTCATCTTATTATAGATGTTCTTACTAATTTGCTTTAGTTTTTTACACTACAGCCCTGTTATGCATGCAAATTTTCACTGTACATACCCACCAAATGCCAAGACTATGTGTTACACTACTTACACCCAACAGCTTACTTTCATCATTGCAGAACTCAGCCCAAAGGTTTAAATGGTGTTTAAAACCCACTTAACATCAGGACTTTACCCAAGAGTACATAACTAGTTAAGCAAGACATGGCACCCTTTGTTAATAATGGGGCTACCATTTGAACTGTAAATCAGAAAATGATATGGAGTAGAGATTTTTACAAATTTGATCTAAAAGAAAAGCATAAGTATATAAAGCAGATCTGAGCAACATTTCCCATCCTAAATAAGCCATCCTTTGAAGGCCCTTTGGAGACTGGATTTTCCCATAATCCACTATTGGGAATATTATTCTCTCTTGTACCTGAAATTGCAAGAAGACTCCCTTTCCAAGAGCAAAATGATCTTGAAAGCATGAGGGATTGTTTTCACACCTATACGTTTCCACACCTTACAGGGTTTTAATTAAGTCCATTGTTAGAACCTACAGCATAGGTCTAAACAAAGTGTTATACTTACACCATTGGTAGACAAGGCGACAAAATGCTTGGCCACAGCAGAAGGCTTTAATAAAATAAAAATATAAAATAGTTAAACACAACACTGCTAAATATTTTGCATTGCTGATCAGCCATGAAGCTGGTTTATGTGTGCTGACACAATGACGACTGTTCTTTTAATATTTGCTACTGCTGGCATTAAGAAAACATTGTTGATTGTTGCTATTCATGTATATTTGCTCTGTCTGTGAACTTTACTATCATGAATACAGACATTGTAAGAGATTCAGTAGCATGTGTGTCTGACCCAACTGTAGGCAAGGTTCAAAGATAGTTTAGGTCTTCTTATAGCAAATATCCTGGAGCAACATACTCAACCTTCAGGACAAGGTGCTGAACAGGTCTGTCTACATCAACCCTTGCTGACCAGGTTTTGGGGCAGCCTGAGTTTGATATTATGTTACAAAGATACTCCTGGCTATCATCAAAAGGTCAGAAATCCTTGCCTTGGTTCTTTAATGGATCAACCCCAAGTGACAGGCTTGAAATTCAGCACCTGACTTAGAGATTCAGGTTAAGTATTTCGGTATTTCTGGACTAAGAGGTGCTGTTATATGAATAGTTTACAGGAGAAATGCTCTCAGACCCTGATCTTGAAAAGTAAATATAGTCACTCTAGTGGGAGTGGGTTAGAGATTGCTTCTTTAGTTAAAAATAAGACTTGCATTTCAAAGTATGAGTGGTAGGAGAATGAGGGAAGGAGTGAGATGCCAGAGTATGAACTGAAGACCTCTATTCACAATTCGGACATCTGCTGCAGCAGCCTCCATCTATTGCTTCAACTATAACTGTGTGTAGCTTTGAATGTTTTGCCAAGTACTGGCAGGCCAGTCCACGTAGGCTAGCATCTCCTCAAGTTTCCTCCACCTCACAGAAGTCTGGCAGTTGTACCATATTTAAGGTGGTTCTGAGATACAGGCTACAATCTATTCAAGTACTTTTATACAAAGGATTTTAGGTGCAACTCAAACATTTGTCTTAACACCTAAGTGGCTTCATCACTGATTAAGATTAGACATGCAACCAGTAACTTTAGTGGTAATGGAATTTAGTTTAATGTGACAGATCCAACATTTGCCAACGTTTATAGCATGTGTTTGGGCAGCTGTTGGCTCTGCTCCAGAGCTTGCTTAGAACAGACATGGGGAAGCTCTGTTATGTATTCCATTATGTAATTTAAGCATATTACACTTACATCATTAGCAGAACGAAGAAGCCACTCTCTGGCCGTTTCTGCATTGGTAATAGTTTCTTGGGTGGTGAAAGTCTGCAAAGCAGAAAAGAGATCTTTTAATACAGTCACATTCACAGAAAGTACATGAAGCCTGTATGGTGTTTAAGGAATGCAAGACAAAGTTAGGCTACCAAAACATCAAGTTGTTCCAGACAGTCAGAGCAGAGTAACCCTAAATTTATATAACAGACACCAGCAGCTTGATTTCAAGGAAAAGTTCACCCACTGTGCATGCACACAGACAGATGTTCAGATATTAGTATTTCTAGGTGTACACCTAATTTCACATTAACATTGGTCTGAGGACACAAGGAATATTAAGGATTTTTCTTTGGCAGGTACATAGTTTTAGCTCATATAATTGATATTTGAAGGAGGGCATAAACTGTTTGGACTATAATTTCCACTCTAAGACTAGTGTTGACTTCTAACTAGAAACTTAAATTGGGAAAACCATGTAGTTAGATTGTTAGCTCTATTTGTTTTCATTCCCACTTCTCACATTTGGGACAGTCTATTCTATTTAGTTTCTGCTAAGACTCTTGCCACAACTTCATTTTGCTGATTAAAGAAAACATGTTCCTGCTTTATGAAGTGTGCAAACAAGGTCAGTCATGCAATTCTTCTAGGATCAGCTTCAGCCATTCTGATTTACTCAACCATCACAATATAGCTTTAAGGATGAACATTACATTCATTCTACTCCCATCCATCTCCAAAATTATTTTGTTATAGAACACACATTTGTTAAGAAAATAAAAAAAATACCATTCATGCCCTTCCAAATATATCCAATTATCTAACTACAATCTAGCAAATAAACTGAACTGTTACTCTTTCAATCTGGCAATATTTTGAGCCTAAAACTGTGATGATTGAACTCAATTACTCACAAAACAATGCTAGTGGTCATTTTGAAGTTTCCTTCTTACCCCATACATTAGTTGCTGGTTTATGTTACTGCCAAAATGAGATAATGAGCAATACAAGCAAAGCAAGGTCAGCATTACACACATGGGAATTTGTTAGGGATTGTGCCTTTAAAACCAAGGGGGTTCTGCTGTGCTTTAGAAATGAAGAACCACAGTCATACAACTATGAAGTTTTTGTCTCCAACTTCCTCAGGCAAGACATAAGCCAGTATATGTTTTAGTTAGCATTCCCCAAAGACCCTCCCAGCCAAGATGTTCCTGAATTAAGGCAAACCATCCTAAAGCAGCATTCTAGAAATGCAGTTAGAGTATGTTTATATTCAAGTGTAAAACTGAAATTGTACAGAATGCTTACAGATTGACAAAATATTATGCTGGCAATTTGTAGCTTCTACAATGTTTACTGTGATCAAGAAATTTAACATTTTGAGTTCTTTGGGGCACAGACTTGTCCATTTTGTGTTTGTACAGAGCTTAGCACAGCAGGGTCTGGTTCTGAGGGACTATTACAATACAAAAAAGTAATGTAGAACAGCTATTGTGACAAATGTTACAGAATGCTACTTAAATAAGATCTCACTAGTATACTGTACTTTGTGAAGGATCTATTGTATATACAATTAAGGAGTAAAACTAAGTTTTAACAAATAGGAAAAATGCATCAGAAATATGGGGAAAATGCTAAACCTGATCTTGAATTTTAAAGAACTAGCCACATGACATCACAAATTCCATCTATGGGATATGAACACATGGAGACAAGACTCTTTGGGTATGGCTCAATGAAATATTGGTTTTGGACAAAAAAAAATCACATTATTCAAACATCTGGAGAAGTTAATATTTTCATAGAATTGTAGGACTGGAAGGGACCTCAAGAGGTCTTCTAGTTCAGTCCCCTGCACTCAAGGCAGGACTAAGTATTATCTAGATCATACCTGACAGGTGCCAGTCTAACCTGCTCTGAACCTCCAATTACAGATTCCACAACCTCCCTAGGCAATTTATTCCAGTGTTTAACTATCATGACAGTTAGGAAGTTTTTCCTAATGTCCAAACACCACCTCCCTTGCTGCAATTTTTATATATTGAGTGATCTCCATTTTGGCCATTTACAAGTTGAGAAAGTCACCCACTAGTGTTAATATTTGCTATACCTTAGATGCAATGACGAAGAGTGTTGTCTCAGGGTTAAGCTCAGCCACGGTTTTGGCTATATGAGTACCATCAATGTTGGATACAAACCAGACACGAGGGCCTCCCTTGGAATATGGTTTCAGGGCTTCAGTCACCATAACAGGGCCCTGGAAAGCAACAATATAGTTAGGTTGTAACATCTTTGCTGCACGTGTGCACACCAAAAAAACCCCAGAAAGTTATGCAGAAGTCAGTACTTGAGAGCTTACCAAGTCTGAGCCACCAATCCCAATATTGACCACATCGGTAATTGCCTTTCCAGTGTAGCCTTTCCATTCTCCACTACGAACTTTCTGCAGTTTAAATACACCAATGAACATACACAGATTTCAATTAAGGTTAAGTTACAATGACTACAATATCAAGACTGTCATTTATATATAGAGTAGGTTCACAAATACTCCTCAGAGAATCTCCCAAAAGGTTCTCCTTTTAAACAAACAAATACACAGCCAAAAAGAAAATCCATAAGACAACAAAAAAGGATTTAGAGAGTTTTTAATAAAAAGGCTTGATCATTGTCGACACAAATATACCGACTTATAAAGGGCAAAGGTCAACCTTTACATATGCACATACTCCCCTCACTCAACTCCAACTGGAGCGGTACATTTTTCACAAGACTGAATAGGGCCCTTACTGTAGAGCAGTGACTAATGTTAAAGCTTCATACAGGCCAGTGATTTCCTCATACCACAGCCAAAGTACTGCATACTAATACCAGTGCATAAGTTTACAAGAACAGAATAAAAGACCAGGATAACCCTTCCTCTGTTCCATCATGGCAATTACAATAAATATGAATGTTAAAGAGGAGGAATATCAAAGGAGCAACCCAAATTAAAAATCTATATAATATCAAGAGATGAGTCTGAGCGATTAAATTCTGGTTTGCATTTGAACTTAAATTCAGAGGCGTTTGGATCTGAAGTTCTGCATTGGGCCTCTAATTAAAATAAGTAAGTTTCGCTAGATATAATAGAACACTTGTTCTAAAAAGTATCATGGGTATACAAGATCTATGTCTAAACAAAATATTCAAAGGTTTTCCATTGTACACAGGTCTTGTATTAAGAGAATCAGTTCTGTGCTTCAGCCTTACTCTTGTTGGTCTGCCAGCTACTGAAAGTCTTGAATAAAAGCTGTCAAACTAGTAGAATACCAAAATACCAACCTGCATTTGCCCATCATCCACCATCTGTGCATTAATCCCACTCATTGCACAGAGGTAAGCTTGCAAACATGAGCCACATCCACTACCTCGGAGAGCTGAAAATGTTACCCACTTCTAAAGCTAATCTGATTGCAGAAAAGAAATAATCATCTGAGCTCCAATTATTTTAATACTTTCTCCCCAGACATGCTTTGTTATGATAGAATGATTCTTTACTGAAGAAAGCTTGTAGATGTACAGTCATGTAACAACTTATAACAATCTTATAACAATCTTAGCTACAGGGTACTTAAGCGAAAAAAAACAAACAAAACAAAAAAACCTCTTAAAAAAGCCTCTTAAAACCATGTAAAAGAACCATATTTTTAGCCTAATAGATAAGGCTTAATCAAGCACCCTTTAGTTTCCACCAACACAGGGAAGATTAGAATGATGTTTAAACATTATTATTTGTCACTCAGACAGGGGCTCTGGTCTGCAAGCAAAGTGCCCAATTGCTAGCTCTGAATATTGAAGTCCTTACCTGCAATACAGGTATGGCACAGACAGCAGTAGATGCTTCCCCACACTATACCACCAGTACATTTTAATCCTGACCAGGAGGGAGAACTTCTAGGGGATAAAAGACTGTTGAGCTTCTACAGCTCATTCTGTTCTTAACTGTGGGCTGAGGCTGCCAACAAAAGATGCCAATTAGTGTCAGTTATTTTGGTTTGGGCACTTCTCCACTGGGAACTGGATCTACTCCAAACTCATTTCACATAGGCCACCCAGCAGTCATCAGGCAAGGGTAACTTTTGGTCACTACCATCTGGGCAGGATTTACAACTGACAGTCTCATAAGCAAAGGTTTACCCCATTGTCATCCCTGTACCTCACTGACGTGTTTGTTATGTATTGGCAGGTTTAAGATACATAGAACCATGTATATTGATCAGCCCTTATCAAGCATTTGAGTTTGGCATTCAGGCATATGAAATTCATCCAAAACTTAAGCAAATACCCAGTTTGTTCTCCATGTTTGTTCCTAGCCAACTGTTCTTAAATCAAAGAATTGTCACTATAAAAGTGAGTGTCTAGAACTAGTTTGACAGACATCTACATTTTAAAGATTGTAATGTACTAAACCAATGACAATAGTCATTTATGATTTGAGAGCAGAAGGTGCAAGGTTTAGACTAGCCGGGGGCAGACCAAAGAATTCTCACACTGAAGTTGCAAACAAACAGAGCTGACTCTTACATATGCCTTATGCAAGACCTTGAGATGCTTAAAAAAAAAAAAAAAAAAGCTACATGATTAGAAGACCATGGAAAGAATCCAAGACACCTTCTACAATACACTGTAGAATTGTTGGAGCACCTGCCAAGTGAGCTGGGAGCCTCCTGACTGCACTCACATTAGCAAATAATGACTAAGGAGGAAGTCCTTCTAGACAAACATTTCGACAGTAAATGACATACAACCAAGTGATTAATTAGTAAGGGGAGGGAGAAGTCATTAGGTGTTTGGTGCCTAGTTGTCATTTGTGCCCAATATTTATATGACTGGAACTCACAAGTTATGAAGAGGAGGGAAAAATATTACTTTAAACAAAAAAGTTTGCATTTAAACTCAGGAAAGTGTTTTTCTAGCAAGTCTTGTTGAGAAAAAAGTAACCATTCCTGGAAGACAGGTACATATATGGATCTGTTTTGTTCATCCAGCTACTACTGTCCCTCATTCAGACTAGTTAGGTACTGTAGTAGTCCATATTATAAGTGCAACAACACAGTTATGCAAAGTAAACAGGTCAAATCAATTAACTGAGGACTTTATACCTGACAGAAGTGTTTCATCTTGTCCAACACCTTGTTAACTTCTGGGACTACATCTTTGCCATCCACGAATATTGGAACATTGGAGCGATTCCTCAGGGCAATATGAAGCACAGCCCGATTCTGAAACAAGAAGGCATGGGAGACAAACACCATAAAATATTAACAGAGGCCGTTTGGCAGTGTAGATACACCAAACACAGCACCCAGAAGGCAGCAGTATAGCATTAAAGGCTATGTGGCCTGCCTATCTAAGGATCGCTCAGACTATTAACTTGAAAGTCTTCTATGACCAGTAGCCTGCATCTCTCTCTCTCTCACTATTTCTAACATGCTCACTGTGGTATCTAAGCACCTGATCAGTTTGACAGAGTTGGTGGAAAACTGTCCAAGACATTTCTAGAAAAGTAAAGTATGTAGTATGCATATTAGGCAAACATTAATAGATTGTTGTGAGAGGTAATGAATTTGAAATTGTAGTTAAAGCTTGATCTTTTGATAAGTAATTTTAATACATTTGCAATTCATACTTCTGCAGTAAGCCTAATGAGTTCAGTAGAAATTATGGTCTTCAGGATTGAAGATAGTTTTATGATCAACTCCTAATTATATTCAGTAACTCAAGGGAGTTATGTACTTTAGCAGTTTCTCAACAACTGCAGCAGTAACAGCCCCTTCAATACAAAGGAAAAGATAAATAAGCATATATAAGTAGCAGCCACGTGACAGGGAAAGGTGATAAGCATGTTCTTCTATTCCACTACTATCAGTGACGGGCCCCAAATACTTGTGTGCTATGTTAGAATTCTAGGGTAGTGCCAAATTCTAATCTCAGATGCACCACACCCCTGCTTATATCAGAGGCCAGAATTTGAGTCACCATCTGCAGTGATGTGTTTGTTGCTGCTGTAATCTAGGGTGGAGGATTTACAGTTAAATAATTCACCTGGTCTGTCTCACTGTTCTTTGCTACAATGGAAAGAGCATTGTGAGGCAAAGCCAACAAGGAAGATATGAACCGCCAACGTTTATGGGTTAAATTACAGTACTCAATCCAAACTAAGCTTTGGTGGCTGCTGGGTCAGAAGACTCAGGAGCTTCCTGAGCTATACAGTTATGAAGATGCACCCTGTTTTTAAATTGGGGATGAAGGACGGTCCTGGTCACTCTCCACCATGGAATCAAATATATTAGTACTTGAACTGATTTCTACTTATTTTTATCTTAAAACTTTTCAAATTGATAAATACTGCATTTGAAGAGATTTATTACTGCTGCAGTGACCATTAAACAGTAGTTTACCATCCAAGTTGTAACTTATCTGGGATGTACACCTGGCATGGCTATGCATGGGTGCACTAAATAGGACTTTTGCATACATGCACACCAGACAGCCAATGCCTCCAGCATCAAAATATAGATCAGCCTTAAGTGTGGTCAACAGCTTGTTTAGATTTAGAATGTTCTCTAAATTAGATTACAAGTCAATTCTGAATCTTTATTGCTTTGGACATGTTAAAAGGGATACCATCAAACAGAAAAAATATTTAAGTAATCAGGACACTTCTGATTTAAAAAATTATTTGACATGATGTTCTGCTTGGCCAGATGGAGTGTAAATTAAACACAGATCTGATTACAGGTCAACCTTCTGATATAGTTCTGCTAACTGTAAAGGAGAGCTAGGAATCTCATAAATGCAAGTGTTCCTGGACTCTTAAGAGTCACCAGAGGTGATTTTTTGTAGCACTACCTCTTTCCATAGCAGCCCTTGAAGTAGGGAGTAAGTATTGGAGGCCAAGCAGGGAACAAAGTCCACTCCTTCGAAATAATGTTAGCTTAGGATAGAGTTCTCTGGTGAACAGTTATCTTGACTGGTATATTGTTCCAAGGCAGGGAAGAGAGCAGCCTCATAAGGAGTAGTTAAAATGGGCTACCTTGTAATAAGCCAGACTCTATGCCAGATTGAGCCACCAAGGGAGGTAGAACCTCACCACCCACCCCTCACACCAGGGGTCGGCAACGTTTGGCACGCGGCTCGCCAGGGTAAGCACCCTAGCGGGCCGGGCCAGTTTATCTACCTGCTGGCATGGCAGGTTCAGCTGATCGCGGCCCCCACTGGCTGCAGTTCGCCGTCCTGGGCCAATGGGGGCGGCAAGAAGCAGCGCGGGCGAAGAATGTGCTGGCTGTGGCTTCCCGCCGCCCCCATTGGCCCAGGACAGCGAACCGCGGCCAGTGGGGGCCGCGATCGGCCGAACCTGCCATGCCAGCAGGTAGATAAACTGGCCCGGCCCGCTAGGGTGCTTACCCTGGCGAGCTACGTGCCAAACGTTGCCGACCCCTGCCTCACACCAAACCCCAGATAGTTAATAAAAATCAAGAGCTAAATGGGGCAGAGCTGTGCCCTGCTCAGCTAAGATAGTCTTAGAAAGCAGGGTGCTCCCACCTGGGGCTGGGTGACTGCACATGGGAGGTATGAACAATCACTGTGACTGCACTGACTTTGAAACTCTGAAGGAAAAAAAATAGTAATTTCATTCTGAACCAGTGAACTCTTCCAAGCATTGTTTCTGGATTACTGATCAGAATTAAAAGAAGAGGTTTGATTGGCACAAAGACCCAATTTTCAGACAGTTGAAATTTGAGGTCTGCACATATGCAATTGCAAGTACAAACTGGCTAAATTCCTATTTCTGGGTCCAAACACAGACTTCAGCTTTCTGAAGAAAAGTTAGGTTTTTATAATGGTCTGTAGTCATTCTAGCCACTGAAGTTTTAACTGCTTGCCTTAAAAAAAAAAAAAAAAGGGCAACAATTTTATCTCCAGCTAAGGCTTTATTTTACTTTTGTCCTTTAAATGCAAGGGATTAAAACAAAAAGGGAGGGAAACTGCCTTTCCAATGCTGCTTTATCAGAACACGTCAAAACACCTCTACAAACACTCAATACTCACAAGCAAAACATAATACAACTGCTGAGCTCTTCAAAGCAAAGGGTTTAACAGCGTCTCTGCAAGTTCACAGTCAATAAAAACAAGCAAATAACTTTCATCAGAAAAGCTCTACAATGTGAAAGGACCTTTAATATTTAAGACAACCCGCTTGGTTGAGCTACACTGTAGAGCATGCAGATTTTCTTCCATTCTCAATTTAAAAAAGATGAGCAGCTACTTAATTTGTTGTATCAAACCTAACTAAAGTCCTATGCAGCACACATCACCAACTTTGAGCAAGTGTGTTCTAATAAAGGAGAATCTGGATACAGTGATCGCTTTCAGACCTAGAAAAAAGGGAAGGTATTTGTACTCTTGATGCAATAGGTGGCTAGTTCCCAAAAAAAAAAAAAAGGGTTTATAACTGTCACTGATAAGTATCCTCAACAGCACAAAGCAGAAGTTCTTACTAGAAATTCTTGTATCATTTGCCAAGCATCACCACGACTGGTCTTAAGCAGAAGCAAAAGGAAGTGGCCCCTTAGATCCAATACCCTGCCCCATGTAAGGTATCAGCTCTGTAATTCATCAGTTGGTCCCATTTCCCTTCTCCAGCAGAATGCCTTCAGAACCGGGCCAATGTGGGAAACAACTTCTGGCCCAGTTTCCTCCACTTCCAGCAGCTTGGGGCCCAGTAAATTGTAAGGCTGGTCTCCAGCTCTCCACCCCACCTCAGTTGCCATTGATATCACTGCTTGTTTTTGTCTTCTCCCCAGAGCTTGTGTGTATGGTGATGTACATGAGCAAAGAAATAAATACTACCACCACATTTAATAGTTCAATGCATCACAAGTAGCCATATGGTAGTAATTTCCAGCCCCACACCCCTCCAGCATAAATATGCATAACCTAGGTCAGTGTTCTCAACCAGGGGATGTGTACCCCTAGCTCTTCCAGCAGGTACATCAACTCATCTAGATATTTGCCTAGTTTTACAAGAGGCTATATAAAAAGCACTAGTGCAGTCAGTGCAAACTAAAATTTCATACAATGACTTGTTTATACTGCTCTATATACACTGAAATGCAAGTACAATATTTATATTCCAATTGATTTATTTTTTAGTTGTATAGTAAAAATGAGAAAGTAAACCTTTTTTCAGTAATAGTGTGCTGTGACACTTCTGTATTTGTGTCTGATTTTGTAAGCAAGTAGTATAAGTGAGGTGTAACTTGGGGGTATGCAAGACAAATTTGACTCCTGAAAGGGGTACAGTAGTCTGGAAAGGTTGAGAGCTACTGACCTAGGTGACATAGCCACAGACAGAAATAACCTTACCTCAGTGAAGTTGATCTTCTCTCCACTGAACATTTGCTCCCTAGCATTTTCGACACCTCTTGACTTTGCCTGAGAAGGGTAAAAATATATCATTCACTTAAGGGTAGAAGTAACTAGCCCCTTCCAGGTAGGCCCAACTGCATTAGAAAGGCAAGAATTTCTTCCATAAAATAAACTTGCTACAACAACAAAAGTTATATTGGCTGCCAGTAGTTTACAGCTGTAAGAGTTCGTTCTCCTATTTTAAAGGAGATTGGTTAGAGGGTGTTCCTTCACTGAGGGGAGAGTGGTATAGGTGAAACTGACAAAACAATCTCAACTTTTTTAAATTACTCAGTTTCATCTTGTCAAGATCAGCAATACACCAGTCAATAGCCGATTTATTTATTTTAATAAACAGAAAATTGATTGAAAGTAATTTTTTTACTGCTGGCCCAAATTTCTGCTAGTACTTCCAAATACGATGCAGCACAGATACAAGACTGTCTTGGTCTTTCATCTAACTAAGTAGCCAGGGAGGATGGTAAATTTGGACATCACACTGAATTGAGGTTATCCAGGCAAATCTTTTCAGAAATGGCAGTACTGAAGCTTTCAGATGACTATTTAAGCAACAAAAGAGGTTTCATGCATCACTTTTAAATTGCAGATGTAATTCTGTTAAGGACTTGACACTTGTACTAATTTAGTTTGATTCCTTTTTTATAATGTAAAAAAAAGTTTGTTGCTGAAAAGACCTGCACTGATCTTTAAAGCATCTGATTGACGGGGGAAACATTTTTGGCTCCACCAACAGATATTTCATTACATCAGAACGGACCAATTGTTATATGGTTAATGCCAGCATGTAGACAGGGCTGTGGTGGTACTTGGAGCCAGCTCTCAGATATACTCCCCCACCAGATTGTACAATAGCCCTCTGCTAGTGTTCTGCAGCTAGGGAGCGGACAACAGCCATCTTTCATGGCATAATCTTCCCATTCTCAATTCCATGAGGAGTCCCATCTTATATTAATGCAGACCTCATCAGTATTGTTTTATGTTGGTTGCTCTGCTGCACAGCCAAACCCCTCCTGAGGTGGGGCTTGGGGCCAGCGAGGCGGCTTTGGTAGAATAGCTCCTGACAGTCACGCTGCCTTGGGGGCAGAAAGCAAAGCTGTGAAGATACCTGCAGACCATCCTAGGGGCTTCATGGGCTGAATGCCTACCAAATCCTTGTGAATGTGGGAAAGAACTTCAGCCCAGCTCTCAAGAGTATTTAGTTTCCCAATACCCTGAATGATCTGGACCAGGGGTCAGCAACCTTTCAGAAGTGGTGTGCCGAGTCTTCATTTATTCACTCTAATTTAAGGTTTCGCGTGCCAGTAATACATTTTAACATTTTTAGAAGGTCTCTTTCTATAAGTCTATCATATAGAACTAAACTATTGTTGTATGTTAAGTAAATAAGGTTTTTTAAATGTTTAAGAAGCTTCATTTACAATTAAATTAAAATGCAGAGCCGCCCGGACCGATGGCCAGGACCTGGGCAGTGTGAGTGCCTCTAAAAATCAGCTCACGTGCCGCTTTCAGCACACGTGCCATAGGTTGCCTACCCCGATCTGGACCTTCGTGTCCTGTGCTAGAACACACTGTGCCAGGAAGGATTTAGCGCCTCATTTTTCTACAACTTGTTTTCACCTTTTATTAGATCAGGGTGAACATAAGGAATTACCAGGTCTATCAGCATCTTCATGATCTCTTCTGTAACAAGGTTCTTCGAATAATCCAGCAAGATATCCCCATGATCAGTATTCAGAGTCACACTGCCAACAGAGACGGTTTGTTAAATTGCAAGTTCCTACAGAGCTCTTGTTTTAAGCATGCAAGTAATGAGAGATTACCCAAATAATTTGAACCCCAAACATACCAAAGCTAGTAAGAATAGCCCAAAGGGCAGTTTTGCCCAACAGGTTTCATAAGACGATTTACTAGATACTAAACTATTTTTTAATTTGACTATAATATTCCAACAAGTTAAACTATAGTGTCCATTTTCTACTTGAAGAAAGTAAATAGAAACAATCATTGACATTTATGCCAGTCATTTCAATAAATGCAACAAGATGAAAACAATCAAGTATTCATATTCATCCCAGCATGAAAGTATGACAAAAGCAAGTATGCTTAAAAAAAAAAAAAAAAATCTATTACAACTCCAAGTATAAAAAAAAAATGCACTCTGCTCCATTCAGTATTCCCATTTGTGAGTTGTGTAATCTAATCCTCACTGTCCCAGTGGAGCTCTCCAAATTTAACTAATCCTTGTTTGAAGAACAGTCTAAATCTCAGAAGATCAGCATTTTTAGCCTTAGATCTGTTGAAGGCTGCAACATGAAGATGTGTTTATTAGAAGTAACATCAAGACAAATCATGTATTGCCATGCATGAGTCTTCTTGGAAGATGGTCTACTTAATTAGCCCCTCGCTATAGTAGGAAGCTCTAATTATGCCATACCGCTCAAAGCAACAGAATCCTCCAGTCATATACACATCTTAATTTTCTTTGCACTGAGGACTACTTTCACAGCACACTCTTCTCCTCTGGAGGCAAAACTCAAAACAGTTTCCTATAGCTCATTCCAACACTATAGCAAACCGAGTCTCTGCCCAAGGAATCTTGCCCCCCCTAGGCTATACTATTTTTCTTTTGCTCCAGGTGCTGTGCACCCACAAGTCCCACTGAAGTCAATAGAAGCTGCAGGTACTCAACACCTCAACATGGATTCTGATCCTGAGTTCACTATTATCTCCTTTGTCTTTCTGCAGCAAGCTTCCCTTCCCCAGTGTCTGAACACAATTTACACACTATTTTGGAGTACACAGCTGTGCTAGGAATTTAACAAGAGCAATAGCCCCTAGCCCAAATTTGATGTGACACAACAAGGAAGGGCCACAAATAGGGAGGGTGGATCAAGATGGGGAGACGAAGGACTAGGGTTATTATTGTAACATCAGTATCTCAGTTAGGCATGTACATCTGGGTCCATTAATTTAGTTTTTTTGTTTCTTTTCCCCCCCTAATCCTAGCAGAACTAAGATTACTGGACAGATTTGAATGGGGAGAGGAAGATATTTTGGCAAAAAGGTTTAGGGTACCATCAAAGAGAACAACAGGCAGGCATCAGAAAAGCAAATAGTAAGACTAGTACAATTCTTTTTCCACTTCAAATACAGCATACTAGTGTGATCAGCCTGTTCTACCACATCTTATATACTTTTCTAACGCTGGGTCTATGTTTCCAGTTTCCTCAGGTTAAGTATGCTTTTACTCTTGGGCCTGGTCACCAGCGGGTTTGTTTGTTTTTTATATACACACACACTGTGGACTATTTTGATTAGGAAGTGTTACTTCCCAGCACTAAAAGTAATAACTGCATCTATTCTAAGGGCCAAAGAATGGGACCCCATTTGCTAGGCACTGTATAAACACAATAATAGACAGATCCTGCCCTCAAAGAGCTTACAATCTAAATTGACAAGACAGAGTGGGGGAAGGGTATAGAACACAAGCAGAGTGAACAACGTGATGGCAGCAAGCATCATTAGTTTCACATTTTATTTTGATGGGGGGAAGTTGGAGTGGATCAGCTAAATGGAAAGAAAAGTGAAAGGAGAGGAAACATTGAAGGGAAGTGGGGAGAGGAAGACAGGCAAGGGGAGAACAGAGTAAGAGGGGCATGTGTGGGTGAAGCGGAGGTGATGCAACTGTGAGGGAGAAGGGTCAAAAAAGCAGCCAGTCAGCGCAGGGCAGAGAGTCCAGTCAAAACTGTAGAAAGTTCTCTGCATGTCTGAAGAGTCCCTGCTTTGGCTGCTGCTACAGCTGCTCCTTCCAACTGGAGTCTCTGGATAGTTTTTCCTCTACACTTTTAGATATACAACCCCTAGTGTGGCTGCAGTTATACTGGTATAAAGGTTCTTATACCAATATAGCTTGCTATAAGCACCTTTATACTGATAAAGCTTGCTATACTTGTATAGGCACCTTTTAATCATTTAACTACATCCATATTAGGGGTTGTACAGTTCTAAACAGATTGAGCTAAAGTAGTATAACACCCGTTGAGACAAGCTCTTTAAGAAGCTACATTTTATATAGGTTTGTCACATTTTTAAATTGATACTAAATCCCTTAATGCACCTGAAGTTTGAACCTACTTTACTAATGAAATATCATACCCTTTAGTATATGAATAGCTTTTTCCTCATTTTGAGGAATTCTAAGAACAATCCCAGACTACAATTAAGCACAAGGAAGTTAGCAACAGAGGCTATAATCTATTCCATGTATGGTAAATTTTACCTTAACTTCACATTTTTGAAACTTGGGCTTCATGCGTCTTATGTTCAGACGAATGAAGGGGAACTTCCCAACTTATCTTCTATAAGAGAGATGATCTGATCATTGTAGCCGCTGTGGGCTACCACAACAAATCTAACTACCACCCACACCTCATCTGGAGTATGAATGGGTACAATGTAATTTTATTTTAAACTCTTACTTCTAGAGTCACATACTCTTCTTAAGCAGCAACAAAGAGTCCTGTGGTACCTTATAGACTAACAGATGTATTGGAGCATAAGCTTTCGTGGGTGAATACCCACTTAGTCAGAAGAAACCCAAAAAACCCATAGATCAATAATGTTCTGCTACAGTGCACATTCTGCAATGCGGCACCCACGTGAAAACAATGGACTTGTCACGTAAGCCACATCCACACTTAAGTGATGTAACAGTTTCCTGTAAAGCCATTACCGTGGTACCATACAGAATATTGGTCCCCCCTACAATGTTAAATATATTAAGAAGCCATTTGCAACCTTGAATCCATCACTGCTCAAATTCCCAGGCGACATGTAATGCTTCCCTCCCACACACACACACACACACACACGCGCTGTTAGCCTGGAGGCTCTCTGTTCCTTTCTGACATAGACCTTACTACATCATTTATGTCTTTGTAACTGCCAAGCTATATTACAGCAACGCACTCTACTTAGGGCTATCTTTGAGAAGCACTCAAACTTCAGCTGGTGCAGAATGTAGTGGTCTTTCCTGAGTGGGACAATCTGTTACGAGCACATACCAGCACTGCATACGCTGCACTGGCTATTTGCTTCTGAAAAGCTTGCGATATCTATGGATTTATGATTTGCTGGGGTTACGCTGCTGCCAGCAGTTTTGGTGCTGAACCCTCCACAGCTGATGGTCAGGTATTCTTAGTGGACAACCCATGCTTCTGGAATCTGCTTCTTCAGTCAGTATGCCAGAACTAGAGATTGAATTTCAAGGAGCAGTCAACTATAATCCAGGTGATGATTAACTGCTCCCAGCATTTGTCAGAAGACTTATGCATTTTTTATTTAAGAGTTCAAATTCATGTGACATTGTGGGACGTGTTCACTCTTGCCTCCAACTATGAAGTATGCCAAACTAATTGGCAAATGGGACCTTTCCTCAGGCAGGTGTGTGGCAAAGGAGGAGTATTATCCATTGATGAATGTAACAAACAGGATAACACAGAATGTCTGTGAATATTAGGCATGCAAAGTAAGAGTGAAATAATAGGTGTTCTAGACTTTAAGAGGATGTACATTTTATTGATAATCTCATTTCAACTTTATCTTAATTAGTCACACCTATAGACATCCCTGCCCGCCTCTCAACAAAAAAAGAAGCTATCAAATTCAGTCCCTAATGCTGTATTAGAGACAGGGAAACCTTGCAAGCCAGAATTTGATTTCTCTGCTACAAAGAAACTGAAATATTTGTTTTAAAAACTTACAGACTTTAGAGTACAAGGTGGCACAATCTTGTTACCAGGGTCATAGGACAACCATTACACAAAAATGAGGATTTAAAAATATTCTTTCATCAGTATAGAGGAAGTAGGCATGCAAGAAAGCTTAGACACTAATGTGGAGAAATATACATCTTGGTCTTTAACGTACTCTTTAAAATACCTAGGCAGTTCATAAAGTGTGAAGCCCCTTTTCCAAGATGATACCAACAGTTGCATCCATCTCCCACCCAAGTGATGCCGGACAGGGAATTATCTGTACACCAGAAGGCAAAAGCTTAGGGTATCTATATCTACACCGTGATCTACAGCCATCTGAAGAAGCCCAATAATAACGATTTAGCACATGTGTATGTTAATGAATTCTAATCACTCCTGCTAGCCAGGGGTAATCTTGGCTCCATTCGACCGAGAGGCTGAGCAGCGTTAAACACGGTCTGTGCCGAACCTTGTGCTTCCCCTTCCTGTGTCACAATCCCGTGTCGCTGTTGCAATGTGCTTTGAGTAACCATGTGGGGAGCAAAGGCGCTGGGGGCAGTGCTAGGCTTTGCTCAGGGCCAGCCGGGGCACCCTGCTGGCTCTGGGGGCCGTTCAGCGCCCTCTTGTCGCGGGGCTCACCATGACTAAGCACGCTGATGCGAGAGGCCGAGACACGACGGACCCACAATGCCACTCTCCCCGCCGCAGCCCGCGCCGTGCTTCCCAGCACGTACCGTGCCGCAAGGATGAGTCAAGGGCAGGCGGGCAGCCGCCGAGCCAGGGGGCTCTGCAGGAGCAGCGCCCAGAGAGCACCACCAGCTCGGGGGGAGACTCCCCCGGCCCCTCCGCGCTGCACTCCCCGGGCGGGCGGGCACCCGGGGGAACGGGCCATTGGGGCCAACCCGGGTCAGCCGGTGGGGAGACGGCGCCCCGGGGCGGCTTTCGCTCCCTTGCGGCCCTACTCGGGCAGGTGGCAGAGCCCGGGAAAGGGCTTCCGCAAAGCCTCCCCGCGGGCCCCTGGCGGCGCTGCGCGGCCCGGGCCAGGCACCGCCGCCTGCAGCCCTGGGAGCGGGGGGCTGGGAAGGCCCCTGCAGCAGCCCCGGCCCCGCTGCCCTGGGAGGGGACTGGGCCGGGGCGGAGCCGCTGGGCGCGCCCGCGGGCTCACCTGAACCTCTCGAAGCGGTCCTTGTCGGCCTCGAAGAGTTGCCTCAGGACGAGCTTGGCGCCGTTCGCCTTGTACCACTCGGCGAGCTTCCTGAAGGCGGGGTCGCTGGACAGGGCCATGGTGCTGGCAGATGGCGATGCGGCGGGCAGAGCGGTGCTGCTGGGGACCGGCGCTTTATAACGGCAAACCCGCCCCTCCAGTGCCGGCCCCGCCCCGGCCTCAAAGCCCGGCCCCTTGGCGAGCCGCGCCCGGCCTGGGCTCCGGGGTGCGCTTACACGCGGCTGCGGCCCCCGAGAGGCTGTGATTGGCCTGTGGACGGGGGTCCGCCCGAGCCCATGGCCAGCCTGGGCAGGGGGCTGGAGCCGAGCCGTCACAGCGCTCCCTTGGGCGGCGGGCTAACGCCTCTCCCGTTCACAGCCCCCCCGGGACATCCTGCAGGTGCGATCCCGCCCACCCACGGCTGGCCATGAGCGCCTGGCCTACGGGGCAGCTTGCACTGGGAAGCATCAAACTGTGCCCTGCGGCCTGTGTGAGCTTCATACCGTCCCCGAGCCGCAAGGCGCCGCCGCTCCCTCCTCTCTGGCGCTCCTTCTGCCTTGTATCGAAGTAGATTTAGCTCTGCGGGGAAGAGACTAGAGGCGCGGTGTTTGTACAGGACCTGGCACAGTGACAGTGGGACCTCCCTTCGGACTGGGATCTTTGGATCAGAGGCGGATTTACCATGAAACAGTGTGGTGGCATGGGGCCCCAATGACAGCCCCCCCAAAATGCAGGACAAATCTCATCTGACAACCTGCCCCCGAGTCCTGGCTGGCGGTGCAGCAGGGCCCAGGCAGGCACCTGCATTCCGTGGCTGATGGCCCCATGCTGCTCCCAGAAGTGGCCGGCTGCTGGCATGTCTCTGCGTGTCATTTAATTATACCATATTTTCCTGAGTCATGCTGAGCACACCACTTTATTCACTGTAAAATGTTACCATTTAAATTAGAGGTGAAATACTAATCAAAGGGAGCATGCATGTAGATTACTTTTTCAGGCTTTTGCAAAACCTATGTCAATTTAGCAATTAGCCTTATTTGTTTTTAATTCGGTACTACCCTCCACAGCACAAACCCAACACTAATAAGGGTGCCCTGTGATAGTTATCTTTAATGTGTGAATTGTCACAGGAACAAATGGCTAATGACCTTTAGCCACAGGGGAACAAAACCCTCAGAAATCTATGTAGCCCCACAAGCATGTGCCAGTGTTCCCTTGTGCATTTCCAGCAGCTGTACAGGTTACAAAGGGGTCCCTCGGCACAGGCAGATGTCATTGCGAGGTATTTAGCACTGTGATCTACCCATGCATGGTTTCCAGAAGAAAAGCTCCAGAAATAATAGCTGGATTTGACAGGATGGGGTTTCCCAACCGTTCAGGGGCCATCAGTGACACCCATATCCCAGTACTTTGCTCACCAAAAGGGGCAAGCAAGTATGTGAACCAAAAAGGTTACTATTCTCTTGTTCTGCAAAACTTAGTGCACCACAGAGGCAGATTGATTAATAAAAACATAGGAAACAATGAAAGGTTCATGACGCCAGGATGCTGAGGAGACCAGTTTGTATGGGGGGCGGGGGAAGGGACTTTATTCCCCAGAAATGATGCTGTTCTGTGTGGTGTGTCTGTGCCAACCCCACATACCTGCTCCTAACTTGGCTCATGTAACTATCCCAACATCAATGACCAAGCTCAATAGCTGAAGAATGGTCATTAGCCATTCATTTCTGTGACAATTTGTACATTAAAGACCATTATAACAGGGCAACTCCATTAGATTTGTGCTGTGGAGGTTGGCAGCCAAACTGTAATCCAGTTATTGTGCAATGCTTTTGTCTTCACTATTCACACTTATTTACCAACCTTTGTTATCAGGATCACTCAATTTCTTCATGATCTTATCAACTTCCGCTTTGGAGAAGGGTGTATCCATTCTTTTTTTCAACCCTTCCTTGTCAGCTGGGGTGGCAGTAGGGGGGTTCGTGGGGGCTATAGCTACTCCAAAATTTGCCTTAGGGTTCCCCCCCCCAGCCACCCCTTCCAGCTATGGGCGGCAGCAGTGCCACCTTCAGAGCTGGGTGCCCAGCTAGCAGCCACCGCTCTCCGGTCACCCAGCTCTGAAGGCACAGCTTCCCCCCGGCTCCTCCCAGCAGACATACTTCTCCTTCCCCCTATTCGCTTGTTCTCACTTCCCCCTACCACTCCCAGCTGCCTGAAAACAGCAACAGCGGGGGAAGCAGATTGGCACCTGAAGACCCTCCACACACACACCTGATCTGGAGAGAGGAGGCTTTAGCCACTTGCCTAGACTGGAGGAAAATTGTCTTTTTCTTCCATTCAGTTCCTTTATGCTCAGGGATCCCCTGATAGATTTGCTGCCCTGGCTGCCAAAGTTTTGCACAGTCAGCTCCCCTCCTGATGCTAGCCTTGGCCAGAGGTGTGACACCAGCTCCTCAGCAGCAGGCACGACAGAGACTGCGAGCCCCATGTTTACACTTAAGTCTCCCCTTTTTTAGGAAGTTGATCCATGGGTGGTGGGGCGGTGGGGGAACCCGCCCGATGCTCTGTGTCTGACTGAGTGTGTCTCCGCTGGGGTGGCGTGAGAGCCTGTCTGTGCTGGTGCCTCTGGATCAGGAATAGGAGCTGCTACAGCTGCTGTACTGAACAAGCGTTCAGGTTCCTGAGTGCTCAGCTTAAAGAGACAGCCCGCTGACACACTCACTCAGGCACACACAGACTCCCACACACACTCCCTCAAACACATACAGTCTCCCACACAATCTCCCTCACACACTCCCCCAACACAGTCACTCTCTCTCTCTCTCTCTCTCTCTCACACACACACACACACAGTCTCCCCCCCCCACACACACTCTCTCTCACACACAAATAGTAAAATTATAATATGGTACAAAATTCAGGGGGGTGCCCTCCGTCCTCCCTAAATGGCGCCCCTGAGGCAGGGGCAAGGCAGTGGTGAGACTTTGCAGCACATTGTCCGGCCGCAGCCAGCTCTGGGGAGCAAGCTCAGGTCTGCACAGCCACCCCAATTTTCTGTGTAGCCCTCCTCAGTCCCCCACCAGGAAGAGGCTGTCAGCAGTGCTAACTGCACTTAGTGACTGTTTAAAACTGGACAGGGTTTCAGGGAGGGGGGAAAGGAGAGCCCATTTAATCACAGGGTAGTGGCAGATACTGTCTTTGCCTGTATTATTACTGGAACTGTGTTTCGATTTTCTACATGTGAACTAAGCCATAAAGAAGTTTATCTACCCATTTTCTGTGTTGTAGAGTTCTGCTGTGTTGATAAATAGTAGTGCTTTCTATAAGCATGTAACACTAACTGCACTTTCCCCATCATCTCTCCCATGTGTGGTTGGGACTTCAGATATTTCTGAACCTGGGGAAGGGTTCTGGCTGTGTGGGACAGACAGAAAAGTATTTGCTGTATGAAGGCACCTGACAGTTACACCATTCCATTGCAAGTGTTGTGAATTGTGGGGCCCAACCCCAGACCCAAAAACATCTTCCATTCATCATACTTAGGAAGGGGCATCCACAAGTCAAAGAATCTATAAAATTTATTAAAAGTATTATAGGAAACTTGTAATTAAAATATTTTTAAAAAGACGTCAGCCAACAATATTTAAAATATAATGGGACGGAATCCATGAACAATGACTAAATGTTACAGTCTCTGCTGCACCCATCTTTTTTCCCTCCCACTGTGAAGGGGCAATGACTGGGGGAAATTGTTCTTGGGAACAACTAGGGACATCTCCTGCATATGGCTTATGGGGACTGATGGTGTTCAGGACCCCCCACAGGCTCATCATTCCCCTCCTGGAGACTCAGGGGGTACCCATGCAAGGGATTTCAGGTGCCAGTGGAGGGTGTGGTCCCAAGCATGCTGCAGACTCCATATTATCCTCCTGGTCACTTGAGGGGATTGGGTCCTCCAGATCAGCTACACCCTGAACGGCAGCCAGAGGAGGAGGTGGCGGTTCCTGGACAGGTGCAGTGGCCACAGCAGGCAGATCCCAAACTCGCTCAGCCACAAGTTCTATCACTCTCCTTTAGCAAATGCTCCCATTCCATGTGGGAATGTGTGACACTAAGCATCCTTGTATTCACACCCTACCTACTATTGTAATAATCTTTGTACAAACAAGTGGGGGAAGAAAGAGTGTGGAGCTCCTTTACTACCAGACCCTATGTCACCTTCCTCACAGCTTGAATAAACTTTACTTTGAGGGGTAACCCTCAGAAAAATCCATTTCAAACGTTTACTGGTCTATAAAGACAGGAGGGCTGACCCCCAAGGGATAAGCATTTGAATCAGCTGATTGTATACAAAATTGCTGTATAATAAGCGTGTAGAGAGTGAGCCCTTTTCTGAAAGCTAATGACACACGTGATTAATATCATTGTGAAATGTATGTATAATTAACAGTATGAGGAAATATGGATACTTAATTATATTATGTTTTAGAGTCTGGGGAGAAACAGCTTCCCTCTCAGTCAAGAGAGAAGTCAGCTATTTATCAGTCTCTTGTGTAAATTAAGCATGGAGGAATCAAAACAACAGAAGCCACATTTATATACAGGGGATGGGAAGCCCACAGGAAGGGAAGAACAGCATGAGGTCATCCTGCATCTTGAAAAAGGTTCAGTGAATTTAGGAAGATATAAGCAAGGAGAGAAGCCATCTTTGGAATCTACCACTAGACATAAGGGAAAAGAGCTTTTGCAAGGTGAGAAAGATGGATCCTTCAACCAAAGGGGAGTTGAAGTCTCTGGGAACTGAATATAGGTGAGAAACCTACTTAGGCAAAGATTGTACCTTGCTAAATTAAGCTTTATACTTTTAGATACATGTTTTCACTTTTGTTTTACTTGTAACCCTTTTTAACTTTATTACTTTTACTTGGCATCACTTAACCTAAGTCCTAGTGTTTTATTTTGACTATAAGCCAACTCAATGCTGTGTTTAAATGGAAGGCTGTATTTATTCCAGTTAAGTTAATAAGTTGTCATGTGGTTTGGGGCCTTTAGAGGAACAAATTAACCTTATTATTTCCCTGAACTGTCCAAGAGAGAGC